CCGCTGAGCCAAACCTGCCAGGGCTATACATACATTATTTATTATAGTCTGCACCTCATCATTTCATTAGTTCAAGTGAAATATAGAAAACTTACCTCCTTTTATGTCCCTTTGCCTTCCCTGTTTATAACTTCCTGAAATATTTTCTCAGTATATATTTAGAACCACATTTGACAGTGTAATACTTTGCTCCAACTGTTGAATACAATTTAGAAAATTCAAGATGAAAAGCTTACTTTATTTATCCTTTTTTTTTTTTTTGCGTACCATATTCTTTCTTCTTTCCTGATTTTCCTAGGTTCTTTCTTTTACATTCCCCTTCGGTTTAGAGAACTTCCTACAGCCACTCTTTTAAGCTAGGTCTGCTAGTGACATATTAATTTTCTTTCATCTGAGAAAGTCTTGGTTTCTCCTTTCTATCTTTTCTCTGGGTATCAGATTCTGTGTGTACAGTTCCTTTCATTTATCACTTTAGAATTATTATGCTATTACCTTTAGGTCTCCATGGTTTCAGATGAGAAATTGATGTCATTTTAATTGTCTTCCTCTGTGCTGATTATTCTGTGTCTAGTTTTCAGATGTTTTAATTATGATATCTCTTAGTATAGATTTCTTTGGATACAACCTGTTGGGAGTTTGCTCAGCTTCTTGAATATGTAGATTTATGTCTCTTGCCAAATTTAGGGAGTTTTCAGGCTTTACTTCTTTGACTAGTTTCCAGGCCCACCCTTTTACCTCTCCTCTGAGATTCCAGTGACACTTTTAGATCTTTGGTCATGTTCCCATAGGCCTGGGGGAGTGCTATTTATATTTCTTTAGTTTATTTCCTCTAAATTACTCAGAATGGGTAGTTTATATTCTATATTCCAGTTCACTGATTCTTTTCTCTGCCCCTCCATTCTGCTGTTGAGCCCATTCATTGAGCTTTTTATAGTGGTTTTTGTATTTTTCAGTTCTATAATTCCTATTAGGTTCTTCTTTATATCTTCTATTTCTTTCTAAGACTATCTATTTCTCTTCTGAATATTTCTATATTTTTTATTTGTTTCTAGCATGTTTGAAATATTTCATTAAAACATTTTTATCATGGTTTCTCTAAAATCTGTGTCTAATAATTCTAACATCTCTCTCAGCTTAGTGTTAACATATTGATTATCTTTTTAAATTCAATTTGAGGTCTTCTAGTTCTTTTTTTTTTTTTATCCTCACCTGAGGATATTTTTCCATTTTTTGTACAGATCGAATGGGAGGGAGAGAGAGGAAGGGAGAGAGAGTGAGAAACATCGACGTGAAGGGACACATCGAGTGGTTGCCACCCGCACGACCAACCAGGGCCGGGGACAAACTGCAACCGAAGTACGTGCCCTTAGTGGGAACCGAACCTGGGTCTCTCCAGACCGCAGGCCGACGCTCTAACCACTGAGCCAAACTGGCCAGGGCGAGGTCTTCTAGTTCTTGATGAGTGATTTTTCAAGTGAAACCTGGACTTTCTGAATTATATTATGAAACTCTTGATCTTACTTAAACCTTCTGTTTTAGCTGGGAATTTTGACATAACTCCAACAGAGAAAGGGGAGGGGCACTGTCTCATTATGGCTAGGTGAAAGTAGCAGTGTAGGTTCCCCACTCAGCCTCCATTAATACCTGAGGGGGAGAGCTCCTCCTTAATGCTGAGGGGGAATGGGAGTTCCTTACTGTTCTCCACTGATAGCACAGTGAGTGTAGACTCATTACTACTAGGTGATAGTGAAAGTCTTGACCCTACATTAGGTCTCCTCTGACACCACCCCAGTGGGAAATAGAGGGGCACTTTGTTACTACCAGATTGGGGCAGAAGTCCAAGCTCCTCATGTGGTCTCCACATGGTGAAAGAGTGGGGTCATTACTAGAGGTCATAAAAGTCCTGGCTCCCTACTTGATTTTCTCTGACACCACCTAGCTAGGGTTTTGGGGCACCTAATTTCAGCTTTATGAGAAAGTCTGGGTTCCCCACTTAGATTAGGGGGATGGGGATGAGACCACAGTTTCTGTCTCTGGTGTTTGGCTAGAAAAGAGCAGTTACTGTCTAAAGTTTTCTGTTTTTCTAGACTGCCCCTTTCCTGGTCTTTTGGTTAGAGAGAGCAGAGTTTTGTTGGGCCTTTTGGTTTACACCATTAGAATTTCAAGGTTGCTGGCTTCTTTGGCATCAAATATGGCATATATGAGGCAATAAGAAAACCTAAGGACCTCACTCACTACTGTGTCATTTTTTCAGGTCTCAGGTTTCCTTTTCTCTACTTTTCAGTCTCTCATGTTTGTTCTATATATAATGTCCAAGGTTTCTAGTTGTACTTAGTGAGAGAAATAGGAAAAAGTATCTACTCCAACTTCTTGGAGACACGATTTCTGTTTTAAATCCTTTGTTATTTCTAATGACTGTATTTAAGGTTATACAGTAGTCCCCCCTTATCCATGGTTTCCCTTTCTGTAGTTTCAGTGACCCAAGGTTATCATAGTCTGAAAATATTAAATGAAAAATTCCAGAATTAAACAGTTCATAAGTTTTAAGTTTCACACCATTCTGAGTAGCATAATGAAATCTCATGCCATCCCACGCTGTCCCACTCAAGATGGGAACCATCCCTTTTCCAGTATATCCATACTGTATGTGCCACCTGCCCAATAGGCATTTATTAGCCATCTCCATAATCCTATCAACTGTCACAGTATTGCAGTATTTGTGCTTAAGAAATCATTATAGCCCTAACCAGTTTGGCTCAGCAGTTAGAGCATCGGTCTGCGGTCCAGAGACACCCGGGGTTCAGTTCCCGCTAAGAGCATGTACCTCGGTCGCAGTTTGTCCCCGGTCCTGGCTGGGTTGTGCGTGTGGCAACCACTCGATGTGTCCCTTTCACGTCGATGTTTCTCTCTCTCTCTCCCTCGCTCCTACTCTATCTGAACAAAAAATGGAAAAAAATGTCCTCAGGTGAGGATTAAAAAAAAAGGAAGAAATTATTACATCGCCGGCCAGTGTGGCTCAGTTGGTTGAGCATTGACCCATGCACCATATTCCTATGAAATAGTTATATGTCTTACACTTTCCAAATAGATTCTCTCTCTCTTTTTTTTTTCTTTTTGTTACTGGTTTTTAATGTTAATGGTTGTATTTTGATCAGAACACTTGGTCTATATGCTATTGATTCTTTGGTATATAGCAGGACCTGCTTTATGGCCTAGTATGGGGTCAGTTTTTTATGACATAAATGTTCTTTGTGTATTTTAAGAACTGTATGTATTATTTAATGACTGGCATAAGTGCATGACTACAAACTCTTAAGGAAGACCTTTTTCCTCTACCCATGGCCTAGACAGATATGACGGTGAGTGGATTTTTTTCCTAGTCCACTCTTTTTGAGATATAGGTTTATGGTGAGAGGTATGGTTTCAGTCTTAACTCCCCATCCATAGCAGCCCAAGGTCTCTGTCCCTGTAAGAGCATTAAAACCCAAGCCCCTGGGTTTTAAAATACTACCCTCTCCCCCTACACCACCACGCACCAATGGAAGCTGTTTAAGAGTTCCAGCTCTCAGTCCTCGCTTTGCTTCTGGAACAGAGGGATGGCCCTTCCTTTCCCATGAGTTCAGTGACACATTTAAAAGAAGTTGCCAGCCCTGGACGGTTTGAGTATCGGCCCATGTACTGAGGGGTCATGGGTGTGATTCCCAGTCAAGGGTACATACCTGGATTGCAGGTTTGATTCCTGGCCCCATGTCTGGGTCATGCAGGAGCCAACCAATCAATGTGTCTCTCTCACATCGATGTTTCCCTCTCTTTTACAGAAGAAGGCAATCAGGACATTTCTATTATTTGGGGTGACAGAGAGGCATAGAGCAAAAAAAGAGGCAAAAGGGAGTGGTTAGAAACTGCAGGTCCTCCTTCTGTGACCGACGCCTACCTAGTCCTGAGCTGGGAATCACTGTTCTGGAACAGTGTTTCCCAGGAGACTTTGGACCAACGTGCAACTTCTGTGGCAATTGTGACTTCGGTGGTCTGAGGTGGGACCCTGAAGACTATTTTCTTCCAGAGCTTCAGGTGACTCTTATGGAAAGAAAGATAAGGGAAGCATTGCCGTACTGTACTGTATAAATTCCCAGATCCCACCTCTCTGGGTTTGAGATCTTGGAAACTATGGTTTTTGGCTAGCACTCCAGAAGATGTGCCACTAAAATTATATATATATATATATATATATATATATATATATATATATAGAGAGAGAGAGAGAGAGAGAGAGAGAGAGAGAGAATTGGTTAAAACTAACCAAAAACAAAAAACAAAAAAAAACCTTAGACTTAGTATATAGTGTAGGAACAAAATATGTCAGAGATAATACTATATAGTTAGAAACTGTAGCAGTATGGATACAGAAACCATCATCCACTTATCCAGTCATTCATTCAACAAATACTTTTTGATCCTTTTTATGTCCCAGATATTTCTAGGCAGTAGAAATTTTGAAATAATTAAGACCCAGCCCATATCTCAAAAACTGCCTGCTCTAGCAAGGAAGGCAAATTAGTAACTCCTATACAGTATGGTGAGTATACAGAAGTACAGATAGGGTTGCCAAGTAAAATACAAGATGCCCATTTTAAAATTTGAATTTCAGATAAACAAAGAATAATTTTTTATTATAAGTATTTCCCAAATTTTGGTTTTTGTTTTATTCTAAATATGGCAACCCTAAATACAGGAATACAAAGGAGAAGCTCCCAATTCAGCTTAAGAGATAAGGGCTGCAAAGTTAGTCATATATCAACAGGTCTTTGATACAAACTAGTTAAAATTAGTAGGTCATGGTGACTACTGCCAGAAGCAGGTAGCTCTTAAAGTATACTGTGTTATATCTAGATTAAGAAGGTAAAGTGTGCCCATCTGTCCCAACAACAGCTACTAAATGTCTCAGAATCTCCTCTTAGCATACTCATAAAATTAACATTTTTATAACTACAAAGACTTACAGAACACAGGTTTGTGGGCGAGGTCATCTAAAGTGATTCCTCCTTCAGGATTGAACTCAAAACTGCTAGTGAAGTTGTATTTTGCAGTTCCTTCTGAAGAAACAGTAATTTTTGCAGAGTCTCCCAGAACTGCCTGATTAAATTCTGCACGAATAAAGGTAACTGGGGTATCTCCTTTAAAACCTCTCTGTTGACAGAAACATACTACTTTTCAATTATACTCAAATAGAGAATTTTCCTACACATCTGGAAATCCATTTTTACTTGTGCTAAATAGCATTTTTCATGTTTCCCTAAAAAGCTATATTACAAATACAAAAGAAACAGGTAGAAAGTCATTAAACAAATCTAATTGCAGTTAAATACAACACTGTATTTGAATGCCATCATACAGAAGTTTTAAAATATAACACATTGTGTTTATAAAATTATATTGTGGAACATTTAGAAAACTGAGAAAAACATATAGGAAAATAAATTACCTGTAATCTCTAATATACAAGCACCATTAACATTTTCAAATACATTTTCTAATATTTTTTGTGAATATATATACATATATGTGTGCGTGTATATATGCACACACATTTATATATACCTTTTAAAACAAAGTAGAGAATATTTATTATATCCTGCTTTGGAAAGAGCTCTTTTTACTTAATACTGAATGAATATTTTGCTATTTCATTTTTCTTAAAATTTTAATAGTTACATCATATTGTAGTTTTATTAGTTAAATTCATCAAATGAAATTAATCACAAGGAAAACTCTTGAAGAATTCAGATTCTTTTCAGAATAATGCAACTGCTATCTAGGAAAACAAAAACTACTTCTTGTTTTACCTGTTAAACTTAGTGTTCAAATTGACAGGAATTTTACGCACACAGTGATATGAATTGCTGATTCTAGACTATCTATAAGGAACACTGAAAAGAAAGGGTCATTGCTATGTAAAGCCAGCAGATTTTGTGGTACAGGGTGATGCAAAACTCCATTCCTCCCCTTAGCACTCCCAACACATCTTCCCCAACCCACTGGAGTTTTACAGGGATATCTTAGCTTAAAGATTAACATACTTTCAAGAAGTACAAATAAACTAGGGGCTTCTCAGATTTCCAAAAATAACTTTACCAATTCATATCCATCTGTCACAGTGATCTGCACAGGTCTGCCTGTTGATGATACCTGCTCCATACTGGCACTTAAGCAAAGTCCCTCTGGTCTTCTTTCGTCCCTGTAAACATAACGAATGAACCTGTCCCCTCATGTATTATAGCTGCACAAGTACTCATGTTATTCATACCAACACCAGGGGAGAACTTAGAGAAATACAATAGTCCAGCACTGTCTGTGGCCTTTCCAACCTTTGCTGCTAGATAGGCAGGACTTTAGGGAGCTGGTCACAAGGATGATTCCACTAGTTAGTGCTAAAAAGATCCTTGTAACTAACCCATTAAGCACAAATTATCGCAAGGCAAGAAGGATAGAAATGCCATCCGCCCAACTCTCATTCCCCACATCCTTCACAGTGTTCTTTGGTAGTTTTTTGTTTTGTTTTTTTAATGTTCGAAGTTCCACTCAAAGATTATTTAATCTCCTAGTTATACAAAATATATTTTGATAATGGGAAAGAAGCAGACACATAGAATGGTTAGTCCACTGAAAAAAGACCTGACATATGTCTTATTTAGTCATTTTCTAATTATTTCACAACACTGAGGATACAATTTCAAAAATAAATTGGATATCTGTTGTGGGTTTTTGTTGTTGTTTTTTTTTAATTAAAAAGGTCATGTTTTCTGACTCAACTCAAAGTGGAACTTAATGCAATTCAAACGTTTACTTAGGATATATTAGGCCAAGTATGTCTAGAACTGGTGGCACAAAATAAGAAGACACCTTGCTGCCACCAGACTTTAAAATTATTCTGCCTCTTCCAAGCTCCTCCTCCATTTTCCCACTCATGTAAAAGTCTCATATCACTTGTTGAAAACCATGTTTCCAGGCTCCTTTAGGCCTAAGTAGCCCTGGCAACTTTCTTACCTTCTGCATTAGTTTTCTTCTTTCCTTTACTACAGTACCACATGAATTAGGCCTTCGCCAGCCTGACCCTGGACAAATGCCTAACTTCTCTGAGCCTCTGTTTCACCTTCTGTAAAATGGACAACCTCTGACCTGTTTCACATTCCGTAAAATGGATAACAAAATTTCTGACCTGTTTCACATTTGTTGTGAATATCCACTAAAATCTATGCAGCAAAGCACAAATGGTATTATTAATATTCACTGCTTTTCCTTAATACTCGATTACCCCTTTAAAGACAAGTAATCTGTCATTCATATTTACAGCCTCTCAGGGCCTGGCATCATGCCTTGTCTGCAAGAGGCATTAGTGGCAAATATGTTGAATACTGAATGCAAGAAATCTGGCTAATTACAAGTTACGGTGAGGGCAGTCAGGCGCAGGCTTCTGTTACCCCCACCAAGGCACGCATTGCCTGTCATCTATTCAGAAGAAGCTGCAGGAGAAGAATCCACCTAGAAACAGGTTAGATGAAGGAGACGATGGGATGAGGTGTGGTCTGGGACAGGGGCGCAGTCTGCGCTTGCTGCGCGGGACCTGGCTTTGGCTGGGAGGCCGGGTCGGCGGGCGCGACGCGCCTAGCGGGGTCCGAGGCGTGTGGGTGTGCTTGGGAGGGCGGTGGTGCAGGGATGCGCTTCGGCTTGGCCACTGCTGAGGGCAGAGACTGAGGTAACGGGGTGTGGCGCAGGGCCGGGGTAGGGAGCCCGGGAAGAGAGGGTCTTCTAGGAGAGACAGCTGTCTTACCTGCAACAGCCACAGCTGTGTTTTTCGCAACTATAGCAACCGATTATCTCTCGCGAGAACTTAGTTTCTGCAATTGCTACAAGTTCCCCACAAGACTCGCGATAACGTTTGGGTGGGGGGGTGTAGAAAAAGAGCGGGGGTGGGGGAGAGACGGGGGGAGTTTCTGCGCCTGCGCTCCGAGAAAGGTGCGTGCCGGGGCAGCCTTATTCCTACGTGGGGTTACTTCTGTTTGGCACTTTACCTCGGCAGTTTTCCACTTTTTCATTTTGCTTTCTCAACCCATTTCTTTCAATATTCCTCCATAAATAGGAAAGGGAAAATAGTAAATTTACTTAAAGATAAAGCCTTTATTAAATGATTTTTTAAATAAGTCATTTAAATCTTTCTTCGTGAAAAATGCAGATGACAGTATTTTAAAAGTGAGCCTGATTCACACAATGAGGGTGCAAAACAAAGCTGCTTCTAGTGCTTAATATTTATACAATATACAGACTTGAAGTAAATGATGTTATAAAAGATTTAAATACAGCTGAAATGCAACATTACTTTGGAGTTGGAATAGCAAAACACAATAGCAAAATCCTGAAAACAACCCAAGTGCCCATCAGCGGAAGAGTGGATAAATAAACATATATATTCACAAAAATAACATATTACAAAGCAGTCACAACACGAAGGAATCTTAGTAGTATACATACTTTAAAATGTAATGTTAACAGCTTGAAGGGGCTCCTACTGGCCAAATCTGAAACAATGTGAGCATCAAAATAAGCAGTGATAATAACGGATGACAGCCCTGGCCGGTTTGGCTCAGCGGTTAGAGCATCGGCCTGCGGTCCTGAGAGACCCGGGTTCGGTTCCCGGTTGTACCTCGGTTGCAGTTTGTCCCCAGCCCTGGTCGGTTGTGTGGGTGGCAGCCACTCGATGTGTCCCTTTCACATCGATGTTTCTCTCTCTCTCTCTCTGTTCCTCTCTCCCTCCTACTCTACCTGAACAAAAAATGGAAAAATGTCCTCGGGGGAGGATTAAAAATAAATAAATAAAAAATAACGGATGACAATCCATTTAACAAAATATGAATACACAGGTTCACATTATTATAAATAAATGGAAAGGATATAACAGTAGAATGCCAACTCAATGATGAAGGAGAAATGATGGAAATAGAGAATTACCATTTGGCACCCACTATAAATGTGTATACTTCAGGCAGAGGTCTTCTATGGTTGAGGGGTGGAGGTTTGATGAGGGATAGGGTATTAGCATGATTTTGGACTACTAATCAAGCACAAAGAGGAAAACAAGGTAACTGAAGAAACCAACATGATCAAGTTATCAGGGTTACCATCATTAATGTTGGGAGCAGTCTACAGTGTGAGCCTCCTGATGAGACTCATAGGGAAAAAGCAAAGCATCATTTTTTTTATTCCTGCCATGAAAGAGCCCAGATTTGCAGACCACGGTATAGAAAGTAAGGCCTATACTCTTTAAAACGGTCAAGGACATGAAAGACTTGGAACTGTTCCAGATGAAAGGAGTCCCAAAACACAAAACGAATGCAATATGTATTCCTCTATAGCTTTTTGGATCAGAAGGAAAAGGGACATTGCTGGGACAGTGGGGGAAATTTGAATGGGCTTCGTGAACTGGGTGGTAGTGTTGTACCAACATTGATTTCCTGATGTGGAAGGTTGTTTGCTATATGTAGGAGAGTGACCCTGTTTGGGAGTGTTTAGGAATGATGAAATAGCAGTCTGCAGTGTGCTCTGTTAATCCTCAAAAGGTCCAAAAACGGGCTAATAACAAGGGTTGTATGCCCACGTACATACATACACAGAGTGAGCAATGAACCAATAAAATGTTAACTACTTGAAAATCTGGGTGAAGGGGACATGGGAGTTCTTTGCACTGTTTTGGTGACTTTTCTATACGTTTGAAATTATTTTAAAACAAAATTTTAAACTATACACACATACATACCACTCTCCATGAAAACTGCATGCTTAGGATACAGTTACCAGGGCCAATTTTTTAAAATAAATTTTATTTCCACTCTGGCCATTTTGGCTCAGCAGTTAGAGTGTCAGCCTGTGGACTGAAGGGTCATGGGTTCAATTCCCAGTAAAGGGTATGTATCTAGGTTGCAGGTTCAATCCTCGGCCCCAGTCAGGGTCATGCAGGAGGCAACCAATTGATGTACATATCAATGTTTCTCTCTCTCCCCCACTCCCTCCATTCTGTCTAAAAATCAATGGAAAAATATCCTCGAGTAAGGATTAAATAAATAAACAAATAATAAATTTTGTTTTTTCTAATAAACATATTAAAATTATAAAAATTAAGAAAAAAGATTTTTTAAAGCTTGCAGTGTTATAAAGTAATGAAATGCCCCCCCCCCAACAATGAAACTAGTGAGGAAGGCATCTCTCTCTGAATTTTTTCCCAAGTGTGGGTTGTAAGTGAATTTGCATTTTGAGAACGTTCCTACCTTGCATCTGACATACTTTTTTTTTTTTCATGATAAACTTGAGTTAGGACCAAGTCTTTGCTAGGGAACTGATCTCATAATCTTGGTCTCATGGTCTTGTTTCAAGGCCTAGACAATGGAGGATAAGTAACAGATGTCACTTTCTTAAACATAATTGATCCTCCTTGGACTGTAGGTAAAACCCCATGTTAAAGTTCTTTTTATTTATCTAGAGTGCTTAGTAATGGCCACTCTGAAATTCCTGTAGTCCTTATGAAGAAAGGCATTCAAATGTTTTTTAACTGATTTAAAACATTCACTTGCATATGAAAAACATAGAAAAGACCTGCTTTGGTATTATAGAAAACACAATGGTACTGATAATCAGAATTAAATCATCTACATATACAAATCAATTGGGGGGAGCTATAAAATCTCTTTAATAAAATTCAAATTTTCTCAGCCTGAGTTTCAAAGACCTTCACTAAATGACACACTATCTCAACAACCTCCTTTCTCATTACTCTAAAACACTTGTTTCTAATTAGCTAATCTGTTATTTCCAAAGTCAATTTATTTCTGACAATACCTAATAATACAATAAATATATTGCTCATTCCTCAAATTGTTCTACATATATATATATATATATATATATATATATAATTTTTTTTGGTACATGCCCCTAGCGGGAACCAAACCCAGGGCTCTGGTCCACAGGTCGACACTCCAACCGCTGAGCCAAACTGGCCAGGGCTGATCTGTGGATATAAAACAGTCACCATGTATATCCCAGATGGGGTTTTTTGTTGTTGTTGCAGAAATTGATTAGTTAATTCTAAAATTAATATGGAGATGCAAGGAACCCAGAATATCCAACACAATCTTGAAAAAGAACAT